GAGAAGGAGAGAGGAGGGGAGGCGAGGAATGAGAGGTGGAGAGGAAGAGAGGAGAGAGGGATAGGAGGAGAGAAGGGTGCGAGAGGAGAGAGAGAGAGAGGGGGGAGAGAGAGGTGGAGAGGAGAGAGAGAAAGCAGAGGGCGGGGGAGTGAGAGAGAGAAGGTGGAGAAGAGGAAGAGAGAGAAGAGGAGAGAGAGTGAGAGGAAGAGAGAGTAGTATATGATAAAATACTAAAAGTATGGTGACTTTGCCGTCATTACGATTTGGCGAAGACGAAGACTTACTGTCGAAGGCCGTCAGACTTTCTGTTGTGAGTTTTGATTGTCGACACCTGTGCATCACTTCTCCTTTCATTCTTTCTTAGGGTTGTTAACTTCCTACAACCAGGTAGCGGTCCGATCGAAGATATTGACGAGAGGCAGAGGAAGGAGGGTGGTGTCAATGCAGTTACTCTCTAAGCTGTCTTAGAGATATGCACATGAGAAGTTGTAATGCCTTAATTACTATGATTTGTACATGGGCAGTCCACAAGCCAACTGTATACCTATGAACACATATATACTGGCAACTACAGCAAACTGGACTACAGGTCATCAAGGCAGGACTCAAACCTCTGACCCCTTAACACGTAGTTATGTATGCTAACCATTGCTCGTGAATACGAGGGCATTAAGTGAAGCTATGAATAGGGTCTATGTACCCCAGAAGTACTGCCGTGAACGTAGCACCTGGGTACGGTCGGGGGTTTATACCGGAACGTACCTGGTCAAACATATCTAATAGTGTGCGCTGACAGATAAGCTACATAGTGGTCTATGGTCCCCCAGCGGTACTGCCGGAACGTACCTGGTGTGGCGTCCGGTTATACCCGGAACGTACGCTTGGTAACTATCTGATATGGTTTAGGGTTAGGGTTAGGGTTAGCGGAGTTCAGAGCGGTAGGGCGACTCGCTGGTCTCGTTTAGTGGGAGTAGGCGATGAGGTTACGGTCAGCATATTAGTTGTCCCCAGGTACGTTTCGGCGGTAT